GGGAGGGAAAACATTCATAAGGGATGGTTATTTCCATGCTTTTGACAATCACTGTCAGGATAATTTATTCTGATGACATGTTCCATCCCATTTGCTCATCATTCTGTCAATTAGTTCAAGACCTTTAGGAGTGGTAATAAGGTAAACTACCCTCCCATTGCACAGGAAAAAACCATCCTAAGTATGCTTCATGATTTGAAATGATCAGATGAATCAACCTTTTCCATGGATTCAGTAAATCATATCTATAAACTACCATCTCAAGATGTGGTTTTGTTTTATTTTTTGTAGCATTCACTCCCATTTATTGGGCCATTTTCCAACGGAGAATAAGACCAGCAATTAGTACAACAATCACAACAGACAACGTAAAAGAACACATCCAATATATTTTATCTTTCATTACAGAGTAAAATTTACAGTATAATGGATTTGAGTTACAGGAAGATAATCTTATTGCTTGCTCAAAAGATCAGAAATCAAATGTTGCAAATTTCCCATCTAAATCAAATTATAACCGAGCTACTGGCCTCAGATCACCTACAGAGCCTTCAGCCTGCCCTGACAGCTTGGAGAACTATAACTCCCTTATCCAAGAGCTCCACCAGCAACTAACTTGTAGTAACAGTGCACCCGTGAAGCAACAACAGCACCACTCAAAGCCATGGTTTGACAAGGACTGTGTTAGTGCCAAAAAAGCTCTTTTTGCCACTTACCAGGTTTTTCTATCCAATACTAAACTGACAGCTGCACAGGATCTCCTCTAGCAGAAGAGATGCTACAAACAACTACTGGCATCAAGAAAAAGGGAGTCATGAAAAACAACTGTACATAGCCAATGTACAATCAAATCCAATGACTCAGTCTCTTTCTGGCCTATCACATCAAGCTCCCAAAGCAATGGACCATCCATGGTGGATGGTCACATCCTCCCAAGGACCTGGGAGGCATATTTTTAGGCACTCTATATGGACATCTCTGTTGGAAATGGACATCCTAGCCAAACTATAGAAAATCTGCCACTGTGGGCTCCAGTGACACAGACAGAAATCAAGAATCTTGTTGCTCAACTAAGACCAGGGAAGGGCCCAGGAGAAGACCTAATCCCTCCAGAAGCCATTGAAAACAACTTGGGCTTCTAGGCCCCCACTCTGGCCTCACTCTTTACCTGCATCAACACCTATGACCAAGTCCCAAGGATTGGGGTCTTGCAATCATTGTCTCTATATGTAAAAAGGGGAAAAGGATGATCCTGCTAATTACAGACCAATCAGTCTTCTCAACACAATCAGCAAACCTTATGTAAGACACCTGCAATGGAAATTCCTGGACTTGCTGAAACAAGAAAACTTACTTGCAGAGGAGCAAGCTGGCTTTGAGAAAGCCAATCCCCTATTGATCAGTGCCTAGTACTCCAACATCTCATTGAAAAATACTCCTCCCACTGTAAGGTTTGCCCCATTCGACAGAGAAACTCCCGTGACACGTGTGGTTCACAAAAGAAGTTTACTCATGCGTAACGTAGCAGTCACAAGCAAAGCCAGGACTGGCTTGGTACAATTGCATCACTCGTTATATTCCCCCCTCCCCCCGCTTTTCTTCCCCCCGCGCTCCCGCTTCCGCCTCCGGGTACGTACCCTCCC